GAAGATTAAAATAAAATTATATAACTTTTGATGATTAAAATGTTAATTTTTTTATAAATATTTAAAATTACACATAAAAAAGAAAATTTTTAAATGTTTAGACACTCATGGTCGCTTTTCATTGCCCTTTTAGATGTACCATTGTTTGTATAAAAATAAAATCAAAAAAAAAAAAATCCTACTTTATAGATATGCAAAGGTTTGTTTGGTATAATTTTTTACAAGTTAAAAACTAAGAATTAAAAAATTAAAACCGAAAACACCTTATTCTTGAGAGAAAATTAGTCTAAAGTCCCTCTCACATTTTTAGTAATGAGAGAGATCCATAATATTATTTTGTGATGTCTAAGGTCCCTCACACATTCTCATACATCTCCTTTCATATCTGATATTCCTAGAGAGAATAACGCAGAGACTGATCTTTGAATTCGAGATTTCAAAGTTTGGTTTTCTTCCTCGCCGAATAATCTGACAAAGGCCTCCAGCTTCAAACCCACCAATATATATACATACACAAACTCCTCCATCCATTTTCTAGGTTTTCAGAGATTTCGAACCCAAACCTCTTTCGCCATGGAGAGGAGTAAGTGTCTTTTCACTCTATCTATCTATCTATCTATCTATCTATCTATATCTATATCTATATATATGTAAATGTTTGTAGTTGCTTAGATCTGTATCTATCTAAATATTTTATTGTATGGTTTTCTGTATATTCATAGATCTATTGAAGATTTGAATTTTCTGATCTAAAAATGTTTTATTCTGTGTGCTTGTTATTTTATTAAATCTTCAATTGATATCTGTAATTCAATTTTTCGTGTGGTGCTGAGAAATCTGAGAAATGTGTTTTTTTTTTTTTCTTCTTACCCAAACACCAACCTTGTTGATTTCTAAAATTCTTATTAGATTAGATGAACTTGATTGTGAACTCAGGTCACAACTGGCTAGGCTTCAATGAACTTTTTTTTTTTATCGACTAGGCTTCAATGAACTTGGTGTTAGCTGGTCAGAGTTATTGCGAACTGGAATCTCACTCCCACAAACTCAATTATGAGATGTGATTCAAGATTGTGAAGACACATCCAAGGTTAGGGTTTCCTGGATCAAAGTACGATTTGTTCATAAAAATACAACTCTGCTGCAAATAGAGAGAATTTCTCTGGTTTCAATCCAAAGAATTTCTCTAGTCTCTCTAGTTTGGAGAGAATTTCTCTGGTTTGGGCTAGAGAAATAAGCCAAAGAAATTCTCTGGATTGAACAGACATCTTCTTCTCGACATCCAAAAGGTTCCACACGAGCATTTGCACCCTGAATATGCCTATGAAGAGCCACACAAATTTTCTCTACACAATTTTCTCTAAATAGAGCCACACAAATTTTCTCTACATAATTTTCTCTGAATAAAGCCACACAAAGCCACACAAATTTTCTCTACACAATTTTCTCTAAATAGAGCCACACAAATTTTCTCTACATAATTTTCTCTGAATAAAGCCACACAAAGCCACACAAATTTTCTCTACACAATTTTCTCTAAATTTCTTTGGTACTCAGAGAAATTTCAATTTTCTCTAGTTTGAACCCGATTATGAGATGTGATTCAAGATTGTGAAGACACATCCAAGGTTAGGGTTTCCTGGATCAAAGTACGATTTGTTCATAAAAATACAACTCTGCTGCAAATAGAGAGAATTTCTCTAGTTTCAATCCAAAGAATTTCTCTAGTCTTTCTAGTTTGGAGAGAATTTCTCTGGTTTGGGCTAGAGAAATAAGCCAAAGAAATTCTCTGGATTGAACAGACATCTTCTTCTCGACATCCAAAAGGTTCCACACGAGCATTTGCACCCTGAATATGCCTATGAAGAGCCACACAAATTTTCTCTACACAATTTTCTCTAAATAGAGCCACACAAATTTTCTCTACATAATTTTCTCTGAATAAAGCCACACAAAGCCACACAAATTTTCTCTACACAATTTTCTCTAAATTTCTTTGGTACTCAGAGAAATTTCAATTTTCTCTAGTTTGAACCCAGAGAAATTCTTTGGAAAGTCCAGAATTTCTATGGAAAGAATTTCTCTAGGATTGAAATTTCTCTGGATTGATGTTGAGGGACCTTAGATATTATGAAAATATTTGATGTCCTTTATGCTATAAAATCTTAATACCAGGGACCTTAAAAAAAGATCCCTTATTCTTGCTTCTCAACAATTAATTTTTTTTAAAACTTATTTTGACTATTTTTGTATCATAAATTATAAATAGAAGTTACAACAAATAACTATGAATCATATATATATTATTAAAAGTAGTGTTTTTCTTATATTTAGGTGCCACACTATAAAAGTTTATTTTTTTTCTAAAAAAGCCACGTCAGCACGTATTTTCTTAATTACATATAGAGTTCTACACATATTCAAACTTAATTTAAATTATACTAACTTTACCTATTTTATATATACTCTATTTGACAAATATTTATTTTCCATATAAATTAATTTTTTTTAAATGCTAAATTGTCTCCTTTTTTTTTCTTATTTTTCCATGCATTATTTTATACCCAATGCCAATTTTATATTATAGATTTGTCTTTTAAATTTTATAGTGATTCTATGTATAAAATTATATTTCATTTTCTACATTATTTTATATAATCACAACTCACAGGAGGAAAAACTTGCACAACAGTGATACTGTCGAAGAACCTCTAAAATTTCGATTTACTGTTTTAGTTACTTTTTCAGTTATTGAACAGTAAGTTTTTTTATATTTTGACATCATATTACAGATGATTAATCACTTTACATATTGAGATATATCTATCTTTTGGATGTTTTCATTATTTTTTCTTTTTGGGTTTAGATGTTGTTATGTGATTCTTTTTTAGTTAATCGCTGTTAAATTTCTTTTATATAATTGATATTTTAGTTTAATTACAAGTATTTATATTACAATCTTATAATTTAATTTATATATATATATATATATATACATCATATAAAATCATTATATGATAATCTAACTATAACATATTTATATTTAATTTTTTTAATAAATTTTATATAATTTCTATTTCTACATATTTTTATTTTCCAAATGAATACAAAAGAAAAATAAATAGTCAGAATTACTTTTAATTTTATGTTACTAATTCTTCTTCTAATTTAATTATTATATTTAATATTAAAATGAGTATTTATTTTACTATTTATAATTTAATATATATCATACAAAATTATTATATGATAATTACACTTTTTAATAGGATAGAACTAAAATTATCAAAATACACAAATAATTTAACTAAAATTAATATATATAAGTATTCAAATAACAATTTTATAGAACACTAGCGCCAATATCATCAAAATAAATAATTAAAATCATACTTTAATTTTAATTTTAATTTTAAATTAAAACTAAAATTATTCTTCTATAACATACATTGTACTATCTAATTTTTTATAAAAAAAAATCTACGTGCATTGCACGGGTCAATTGTTAGTTTATATTATTTCAAATTGACAAGGCCTTCATATACATATATATATATATATATATAGGTGGTACTACATGCCCCAATTGGCATACCAATTAGTATGTTAATATATATTATGACATTATCATTTCAAAACTATGACTCCACCCATTATACAAATTACAAAGACTCAAAACCTCTAAAATTATGTCACATCATCCGTTAGTACACTAATGTTATGTTTAGTTGAGAGATTTGAGAAGTGATTTAGAAAGGGAAAGGGAAAACGTAGGCGAAATATGAATAAAACATACCTATATTTCACCTAGTTTTACACACTTTTTCCCTTTCTCTTTTCAAATCCCTCCCCAAATCTCCCAACCAAACACAGAGTAAGGGTTCGTTTGAGATACGGGTTGACTTTTTAACTATTTTAACCTGAGACAAAAAAATCTCGTTTGGGATAAACTCGTTGGTTTTTTTGACTTTTGTAGAAAAAAATAATAATAATTATGGTTTGAATGTGACATTTTATCTTGTTAATTTTTTAACATATTTTGTCCTTTTGTGACTATTTTAACCCAAACAGAGAATGTCAAACGAAGACTAATTGATGCTTATACTATTATTCTTTTTACATAGGCAACCATTTACAAAAAGAATCAAAAGGATTATTTACAAGCAAATAGTAGAGCAACTGAAGAGGTGGAAAACCCTGTGGGATAAATCCGATTTATAAATTTTTTTAAATTGAAAATTCCCCCTTAATGTTGCTTGATATATCATCTTTATAAAAATAAATTATCAAATTATCATTTGATCGTATGCTTTGTACATCAATATATTCGCTCTTCTGAAACTCATACAAAATAATTTTTGTGAAATATACTTTTGTTCAGCCACTTTTTAATATATAGTCTCTCTTGATCTATATAATACATACAACATTAATTGATGACAATCATATTCCATTCAAATATGTTGGATCATAGATCCCTACCAAGTACATTCCCAGCTTGCCTCAAGAATTGCAAGTATCTTGGAATAATTTGAAGTGGCAACTTATAGTTTGTTTCATAGATCAACATGATATAACAATATCACCACAAGTAACTAATAATTTTTTTTTTTAGGTCTCCCACTGTATCCCCAGATTTTTTTGGACCCAGGATTAATCCACCGAGAAAGCTGCCTGCATCCACAAAGGTTTGAACTCGAGACCTTTGCTTAAACGACCCAAGTCCCTTTCCACTTAGACCAATCCCCATTGGTCAAGTAACTAATAATCAAATAACATTTTATTTGATAACTCACTAAATCTATCATATGGCATGCATAGATCTTTATTCAATTCCTACGTAGACAAAATTCTAAAAACCATAGGTTTCAAAATTGGAAACCACAACATAGTTTTGAATTCCAAGAGCCTATAATGACTTCGAAGGTAAAGGACTAGTTCGTCATCACCAAAGAACTCGACTCAGGCATCCACTCAACTGATTTCAAACCCAATAGGTGTAACGAGCACAAGAATCCAAATTTCAAACCACCCACTAGGAACCAAAGGGCTGTCACATGAAAACATGTTTACAAAAAATAACAGTCCTCATAAAAATGACAAAATGGCTCTTTAGGACATATGTTAGGGTTCCGCCATTCAGCAACAAATTCAGCTTACCAAATTACACATAGTAACAAAACATCCCATCAGATATACAAGAAATTTATTCAATCATCCAAACTTTAAACATATTAACCTCACACAACTGTTATCTTAGAAAATGTAGTCCGGCACCTGGAGAGGAAAACGCGCCACTTCAACCTCAAACGGCCTGCTTTTGGGATCGGCCAATCTACATTACCAACAAAGAAAATTTTCTTCTTGTCAGTTAAAAACAGGAACCACGTGGACTCTTTACTTTGAAAATAAAATAAAACATAATTTTCACTCAAAATTTCTGAAAGGAAAACCAAAGAAAGAATCAAATTTCAAGCAGTGAAATGTTAACTATAAATACTGTTGGCACCTAATATTAGCTTCACAACCCTCCTGTAGAGGGCATGCCAACCACTTGTACCATTCTGACTCTGAGTCTAGTGTTAGATTAAATTAACTGATTTGATCATACAAGCACCAGTGATGCTACACAGTAACCAAAATTGGGTATCAAATTTTTCAATACCATTTAAAATGCCCCCAATGCATTTGTGTGAGACATGAAAGATGGGATCCATTAAATTAATGCATTAGTGATCCATCAGAGGGCATTCAAAATTTGGTTGCACTAAATATATGGTTAGATTCGGAAAGTTGCCTATACAATGTTCAATTGATGGTGTACCCTGATATAAAATCAATTTTAACAATACTAATATTTCAACACCCTGTGATTGATCAAACAAAAGCGGGTACTTGTTTTTTTCATATGGAATGCATGCAACACTACTTTTTTTTCTTTTTTTTCTTTTTTTTTTGCCTTGTTCTCAAGATAGTTGGAAAAGCACACAAATTCAAGATGAACTGAAGGTGTCATCATCAAAATAGGTGTAAACCACACAAGTCGTGATCACTTAGTGATACATGATGAATGATGAACAAAATCCTGAATGCGATCCACACTCCGTCGCTATACACTGCTAAAGCAAAGAACAAAGGAAATGCCAGATTATCTACGTAAACTCATCCAGATAAGAAATAGGAGAGCAGGTATCATCATTGAGTGCTTCAGAGTTCACTGGTTTTAAAAAACAGATATTTATACAAATAGTGAATTGTGTACATACTTTCCAGAGACAAACGTGAAAGAACCCTCGATGGAGCCTGAAGAAGATGACAAATGTGAGCAACTTTCGTAGACAAATTCTTTCTCGCCCGGAAGTAAGAGTGGATACTGCAAAGAAGCCAAAAGGGAAAGCATTATTACCAAAATGAACAAAAAGAGGACCAAGCCATCCATCCAATAAGTGGTAATATTAATGAAAGAAATTAGAAAGCCCTTCTAACGTCTTTGAAAAAAGGAAGCTTCTGATTTTCAGCACTTTGAGAAACCAATCTAGAGTGGTCAAAGAGGTAATTTGCTTCACTATAGTCACCAGATTTCCCTACTACGAGGTTATCAAGGATAGCTTCCTTCCATAATTTCCAATTGGTGTATGGCTACTGGTCTGTGGTGTAGAGTATACTGCCCCATTTTGTGCTCTATTGTGGAGTACTTTCAAAATTTCCAGGATGTACAAGTAGCCCTGTTAGGAGTACTGCCCCATTTTGGTCGTGTTTTATTCTTGTGTCTACTCAAATGTTAAACAGCATGCAGGCTCTATTCTACTACAATACAAACACGTCTGGTCCAACAACAGGGCATACCACCAAAGAGAAGCAAAGAAGAACCATGTCCCAGATATGCACAAAGTCGAGATTTATATAAATGTGGTTCACAATCCCCCAAATGATTCTTTATAGCTGTCAATTAATTTGATCACTCTAGTTTCAAACGCAACAAATTTACCTATTAATTTGTCTCTATCAAATTAATCCAACTATCAACACAGACAAAACAAACCCATTGACACATTTAATCAAACACTTGATGTGCATGAAAATGGATGCCAAAAAAATATGAATTTGCTCAATACCTTTACAAGAACATGAACATCATCATCATCGAAGACTTATCTTTCAAACGTTTCACGTCCGATCATTTAACAGGTTTACTATAAAATCCTCTGCCCCTTCCTTCAAACACCTGTCATTTACAAATGAATATCAATATCAAAATTTTAAAATTATAATACATAATAGTTTGAAATTTTAAATATAAATTTACAAAAAAACAATGAGCTAAACATTATCAAACATAACTGGGTTCCTCTGCATCGCTCAATAGGTCCTGTTCTTGCTCGTACTAGAAAAAATGTTCCACTTCTAAAATGTCGTTCTTGCAAATCAAGAAATGAAAAGATAATTAGTTGATACATTCCTAAAAAATATAGAATTACAAAATTAATTAATAAGCTCTCCCTGATCCAGCATGAAAAACAGCAAAAGATTCTCAAAGGAATAACAGCACCATCAAAAGTTTTGCACCTGCAAGGGAAGTAGACATTAACTACCTCAAGTTATGAAAACCATTCCCCCATATGAACGAACCTCATGCTGTTTCTGAGACTTTAATTGGAACTTTAACAAGAAAGGTCATTTCCTGAGCATGTCTCATCTGACTTTGTATTGGTTATTTTGATTACAAGAACATTTAGAAAGCAAATTCTACTTGAGACCTGGGAAAATATTTACACGTGTTCAGATGCTAACCATTGTAAGGATCATCAAGGTGCTTGCCTTCGTAGATGGCATGGGACATTAGCTTCTTAAAAAAATAATAGAATTTCTACATATATCTTTTGGTACTCCATGTTAGGAAAAACAGCTTAAGAAGCAGCCTAATGTTAATATAGGATACAAATCCCTATCAAACACTGAAGAAGAGAGAGAGATACCGGCTAAGCCACTCCTCTTTGATTTTAGTAGCCTACGACTCAATTTTAGGTGAAAGGGGTCCACCACCCCAGTTATTAAAGTTACTTTTGACCCCATAGTTGGCCAGTACAGCAGCCTAGGGCAAGGCACACCGGTTTACAAGATTGATTTCAGCCATCTCTGGCCCCAATATAACTTAGGTGATGCCCTCTTTCCAGGACCTACTAATGGACTTTGAAATTGAATATTCCAGAATTAAAATATTACTCAACCCAATGCACTGACAGTGCAGCCAACGCAACTTAAGAGGCCCACTGAAGCCTTCCTTCCTAATACATTTGTAACATCCCCTTCGCTACAGATTGGCATGGATATGTGCAGATTGTAATAAAATCCAGTGCAAACACCCCCTCCCCACAGATAGAGAAGGCCTTTTGTGATTTGTGAATCTTGCATTGAGGGTTACCTGTACACCATTTGTTATTGCAGTGGAACAGTGTGGAGCTTCCTCTGGGAACTGGTTGATTCTTCTGATTTTTCCTTCTTCGCGAAGTTTAATAATGCCATTGTGTAAGCGGTGACCATGTTCTTCCAGCCATAATAGCAAGGCATCCTGTTGTTGACTACCTCCAGAATCATGTACAGAACTTAACAATGCATTTGGCACACAAGGAATCATTTCCCCATCAGTTGCAAGATTCTGGGTACCAACACAGAGTTGGCCATTGGTGCAGTTAAGGAAGAAAATCTTTTCAGTGTTAGTGGAAGAAGTTGCAACAACAATATATTTGGATCTGCGACTAAATCCAAGTTGATGTACGATATCCTTTGTTTCTAGGATTATCCGACTCAAAGGTAACAAGTACACGTTAACTAGGCTTTCATAAAAGCAGTAGCCACCTATGAGGCCCAATGGATTTCCAAACATGCCTCCACTAATTTTTTTGCTCAATATGTCTTGACCATCACAAAAACGATACAGAACCCTTGTGGGAAGAGGCAGTTTTACTTTCAATTTTTTTTCGAACTCCTTTATCTCATCCTCAGATGCACCTTTACGCAGTGTAGCCAACGCCTCAGGGAAATTTTCCGACAACCAGCATTTAAGTCTCGCCCAACATCTTCTTACTCGCATAACCAGAGGCCAAGGATACATACCAAAAGATTCCCGCCATATTTTATAAGCTTCCTGGTGGGAGGGGGAGAGAGAGAGAGAGATGGTTAATAAGTGCCAATTTCTCATCGAAACAGAAAAAGAATCATATGCTACAAAGCAGTATTTAAATCAGAGAAACCACTAGCTCAAATTGAAATCTTGGATAGACATGATAAAGATAGCATATGGAGCAAGAGGAGTATGACTAATAGGGTTATGACGTTAGATCAGCACGGCCAGGTTTAAGTTAGTTAGAAGCCAAGCACCCTGGCCCATACCAACCCTAACCCAAACTCAGCTCATATCATTCACCCCACTGGATATAACAATGTCAGTGTCATGTTTGGCCCTAAGCAGTCGACCTCAATTAACTAGATAAATAACAATTCAATCTTAATCTAGTCTACCACTGGAGGGGGAAGGGCTACAGGCAGCCTGGAGATGGTCAACCCAAACACATTCATTGATTATGCTTTTTGAAACGTACAGTATGGGAATGTTATAGCAGAGATAATGGTCGAAAACCACCACCTCACAAGAGGTGCTACTTGCTAGCTTACCATTTGCGAAAGGAAAATTCAAAGGAGAAACATGATGAACTTGTAAACAGTTCCAGTTGAATCCATACCACAATATGCAGATTGTAATCCTCCTCTAGACCAATCAATTTTAGGAAAATTTATCTATTAATTGAAGACTAGTTGTGATGCATGTCACATGGAATGTCTATAAATGGATGTCCAATCCAATTTGATAGTTTTGGGATATAAAAGTTGTCGGAATTTATGAAGAATATAGAGGAATTGAACCAGAATCCCAACTTTCCTTCTTAAAAAATGGCCAGATGCCCAGATGGTCGGATGGTTTTAGATCACATGATCCAAACTCATCCAAATCCAATCAATAGGACTAGTTATAAGTTGGGTGCAGCTGTATATCAAGTGGCAGTACCCAAGCATGCATCCTGTGTCAAGAGATACAGCTTAAAATGAGAAGGTTTTCAGAATAATAAAAGATCAAACAGAAGCTATGGAATGAAAACAGAAGTTACAGCCAAAAATGAAAATAAAAAATTCAAGCACCATGAGAGGGGAAAAAAAAAAAAACTTTAATTTGAACCCATTGATATACCCATCACTCATCTGCCATAAAAAGGACTTGCTAGTCCAGCAAAAGAACTAAGACCAAAATCTCTACCACCTCAGGTTGGTATATTGCAAAGTATTCAAGATATACAGGCAGGAAGCTCCAAATGGGCAAGGTGTTGTTTTGCCCATTTCAGTTATCAACACATACAAATGAAATCACCATAATGGACAAAAAAGGGAAATTTCAATGAAGACGAAAAGATATACATATTTCATACATATCTATTCTATTATATAACCTGTACAGGTCAATTAGTGTGAACACTTTTTTTGAAACTTTGTCACGCTTTTTTTATTTTCCAAAAATGATTTAGATGTTTAGAACTCCACAAAGATGGATGGTTTCTATGCATCTTCTTTATTCATAAACTACTGTTCTTTGCAGGTGCATTGCGCGTGCACCCACACACTAGTACGATATAAATGTGTGTGTGTGTGTGTGTGTGTATATAGAGAGAGAGAGGGAGAGCTCATTTAAATTCATTTTCAATCAATAGCACAGATGAAATGATATTCCTTTTGTCACCACAAACAATAAGAGTTTCTAGTGGCTGACTAGTTGTAAATGTCAGTAATGGTCCATTTTGGCTGTTGAGAAAATTGCACGAAGAACAAAGAAGAGAAGATTGAAACTAAGTAATTTCTAGTGCTTCAATTGCAAATGAAATGTTCAATTCTTTCATAAAAATATTCATCAACAGTTTTGAAGATCCTGATAATCTCCATGGACGACTGGGAAAAAAATTGACTCCACTCCAAATCACTGCTCTTAATTAGTGTAGATAAGACACACAAACAAATTCCTCACCAAAACTCAATAAAAATGAAAATGGGTCCGAAACTACAACCTGCATCAACCAGCGCACGCACACACAAATGAAGAACATTCCAGTGAACATAATATTTGCTTGGTTGCCAAGAAACATAAGGCAAAACCCAAAAAAAAATTAAAAAAAAAAGGAAAATAAACATCTAAGTCATGAACAGAACTCCTCAATTTTGTTGAATAATTTAATATATCAGCTAATTTAGGATTTTCTGGCTTTTTTTCTTTTTCGTTTTTTCTTTCCATGGGCACATTGCACTTTACCCCCTTATAGTTTGGCTCATATGCAGATTGCCCCCCTCTCATTTAGAAATGATCACATAGCTCCATTTTGATTCGTGGACTGAAGTGCGCCGTTAGGCATTTCGTCTAATTTAACAGCAAGTGTAAATATGTACCAAACATAAGAGTTATATGCTCATTTTTAAATTTCAAGTGAGTAAATTGCACATGGAATAAAGCACAGTGGGTTAAAGTGCACTTTGTCTTCCAAACAAATGACGAAAATATCCGTAGTTCACAAACTTCGGTTTCTAATAAACATGGGTATTTTAGTCTTTTTCATTAAATCATTAACGGGATTAACGGGCCTAACTGTGCACTTCAATCCGCAAATCAGAAGGAGGCTATGAGCTTATTTCCAAATGAGAGGGGGACAATCTGCACATATAGTTCAAACCACAAGGGGTAAAGTGAAATTTGCTATTTTTTTATAGCACAATTTCCATTTCAAAAATTTTAGTTTCTCCTTACTCCCACATTCTTCTCAGGAACCAAACAAAGCTCAAATTACTGCTCTCAATTAGTAGGTAAGACCCACAAACAAATTCTTCACCAAAACTCACCAAAAACAACAACAACAACAACAACAAAAGAAAAAAAGTCAGAAACTACACCTGCATAACATTCCAGTGAACCATAAAGTATGAAGTTTGTTTGGTTGCCAAGAAAAATAGGGCAAACCCCAACAAAAGAAAATAACTATCCAAATCATGATGAGATTTCCTGAATTACGTCAAAAAAGAATAGTTTTTTTGAAGCCCAATTTCTGTTTCGAAATTTTTCGTTTATCCATACTTGCACATTTTTCCCAGGAACCAAACAAAGATGAAAAGAAACTAATAATATTGTCAGACAATGAAAAGCATACACATAGAAAGAGAGATAGATATATGAATTAATATATACCTTGAAAGTGGAGATGGGATTGCCAAAAGGGTCTTCGGGAACAGAGAGTTGGAGGTCGTCGGCGCAGAACTTGGACCAGATAGACTCGTCGGCAGTCCAATCCCGGAACCTCTTGCTCACGCTGGCAGCCGATGCTGCCCCTGTCGGACCCACCTTCGTCAGAATTTCATGAACCGCCAATCCACCCACACTCTCCAAATTCATCTCTCTCTCTCTCTCGTTTTGGGGACACTGGCAGGGATTAGCTGTGTGCGAATTTGTATATAGATAGCGTGAGAGAAAAGAGAGAGAAAGTGCGAAACAAGAGATTGGCTCGGTGAAGTGGAGAGAGTGTAAATGATCGGGTGTGTTACGGTGTTTGGGAGGTTTGTGTGTAAAGTGAGGTTTTATTTGTTTAAAAATCAGTAGAGCCGTCTACTCTGTTTTTGTCAATGTCACCTCATAAAATTGTAAAGTATTGAGATGAGACGGGAAGTGGTATTATGACACACCAGTTTCTTTGGTTTTAATTTTTAAAAATTAATTTTTTTTAAAGGGCAGTGATTGAGGGCCCGAAATGGGGGAGTCCGAATGCGTCGAAATTTCACTTTTAAGGAAAAAAAAAAAAAAAAAAAAGGAAAAAAGAAAGAAAAAAAGAAAATAGTTTTCAAAATTGGAAATTAGGGATATTAGGGGCAACTTTTTTAGGGCTATAAATCATTTTTCTTTTTTAAATTATATTTTTTTTATTTAGTGGATGTTTTTAAAATTTTAAGAAAATTTTTAAATATACCTAATAAAAATATATTTAAAAAATATAATATTTGAGAAAATCTTTAAAAAATATCAAAAAATACAAAAAAATACTAATATTCAGTACTTTTTTTATATTTTTGTATATTTATTAACTTTTCAAAATATTTTTTCATAAATATTTTATTACTTAGATACATCTAAGTAAGGTGTATCTAAAAAAGTAAAAAACAAATTGTTTAAAATTTTAAAAATATTCACGAAACACAAAAAAAATACGAAAAACAAAAAACACAAGGCTTGTTTGGTTTGTGTTTGTAGAATAGTTTTTGAGATAAAAAGTACGAAAATTTATTTGGTTTGCTTTTTTTCAAAAATGATTTTGGAAAATTATTTTGGGGAGAAAGTTTTAAAAAAAATGGTTGATTTGATGTGTATGAGAAAGAGAGTAATTTTAGAAAGAAGCAAACCAAACAAATTTTTGAGATTTTTTTTGAAAAAATTTGTTTGGTTTGATTACTCTTGAAAATTTGTTTGTAGAATTTTTCCCAAAAACAAACCAAACAAACCCACAATTTTGAGAAAACTGAAACCAAACACACTGAATATTTTGCACCTTTAAATTATGTTTTTTATATTATTTTTAATTATAGTTATTTTTTTTAATTATATCTTATTTTAGTTATAATTTATGAGATTTTTAATTATGTCTCATATATTGGTGTTGTTTGGCAAGTTGGTTTGTGGCTAAAATAGCCACAAAAGACAAAATAAATTATTTTAGCCACAACAAACAAAACATCACATCCAATCCATAATCATTACACTCTTCTCTCACAAAAAAAGTCAAAAAAGTCAAAAAGTCATTCCCAAACCAAGCTTTTTAACCCAAGTTAAAATAGTCAAAAAAACCAAAAAGTCAACCCACTTCCCAAACGGAGTCATTGTTTGATTATGACTATTTTTTTGGATAATGTCAAGGACACTAAATTTTTTACCAAACAAATGACCAAATGACCCTATATCCATGTGAGACATTTTGTCATTTGTTTGGCAAAAAATTTGACACCTATAATATTTTTTTTATTATAATTTAAAAATATATAATCATTTTATTTATTTTTTTAATTATAAAGTATATACGGTATACATATTTTGAGGATCATTCACGACTGAGATATACATGATTTATCAACATTTCTACTTAAATGTATGTAAAACTTTAATCTATGAGGACCCACATCCATATAAAATATTTGATAAAAATAGTAATCACTATATTTATTTTCGAATTAATGAATTTAATTTTTTGAAAATTGAGTTTTTTATTTTTCGTGTTTGTACGAGCAAGAAATAATTTTCTCGTATAATCCTGTTGATCAAATTCGCGCTCCTCCAAACGTCGTCGCTTTACTCCCTGAAAACACAAACGTGAGCTAGCTGGCGGGTGTGTACTGGATACCTCTCCGATGCCTAAGTCAGCAAAATAGACAAATAGACAAAAGTTATGTGTATTCGAGAATCAAAGTTTTGTTACCTCTCCATAGGTGATGTTATGAGCTTTTATAGGTTCCGCATGACACAATCCTAGTAGGGACTCTTATTCCTCCATGCAGAGTCCTCCTAGGAATCACACTCCTGAAGGATAATGCTTATCCCTCAACACCCCCCCTCACTACTTAAACCAAGTGAGATGGTTTTATCCCGGTTGGAAGGTAGTACGACCGGGATAAAATAGCCATGCTAAACTGGCTGGAACGACCGAGCTTTAGCTAGCTCGGTTCTTTCCTCTGTTAATCGTACCTCGGTTTCATCTGTAGACCGTGCTAACCATAGCGTACTTGGACCGAGCTACTCAACAGCAAGGTCTTGAGTAGAAGCCAAAAATACCTCGGTTCAAGATGGTTTGACCGAGCTAACTATCACCGCACCGGCCGTGGTGACCGAGCTAACAACCAAGCTCTTTCGGACCGGGCTATCTGCAAGGCTCCTCTGGACCAGACTAATTACAAGGCCCTTTTACTCAGCCCTTCTTATTGTGGTCCACAGAATGGCCCATTACCCAGCTTGGCCCAATTTACATATAAATTACCCTCTCAATTGCCCCTTAATTCCATCTGTGCAGCATGATAGGGATTACCTGTTACCAGCCGAGCTAAAAAAGCTTTAGCCTTCCAATCCGAGCTAAAGAACCTTAGCCTTCCAACCGAGCTAAATTCGCACCATGCTATCAATCTGTCCGGTCAAAACGTCTCTTCAGTCTCTAATTGAATCGATTTCCATTCTAAGAACACGTGGCAGACTCTGATTAGCTCAATGCAGCTATCATGCCGTCTTCGTACTCTGCGTTTTTTTTTAACAGTCCCGCCTTTTTGTCGTTCTTTACACAAAAACTACTCATTTTGAATCTATCACGTCTACTATTCATCATTTTCTCTCTCTTTGAGCTTATTCTCCTTTGTTCTCTTGCAACTGCGGAACTCGTGTTCTTGCTGGGATCTTTTTCACCTTTGGTCCCTCTATTTTGAACTGGTATGTGACTCAAATCTCTTTCCTTTCCGTTGATTTCGCACTTATTTTGTAATGCATAGCATGCATTTCTGTATGATTTTCAAAAACACCTACTCCACTTTTGCTTCCATTTTCTGAAAAAACCTTTGTAATATAACCATTGTCTATATGAATAACTGGGGACATGGTAGTTTTGATCCAAAATCATACTCCAACCGAACTAGGATATTGTTTGTATTAGATATGACCCTGGCCGAAATAAACAACCGGACCAAAACTTCATACCCTATTCGAAGTTTCAATAGGCCTTACCTCTTAGCCGGGCTATCGAACTGCATTAAGTGTGCGCAATACCATGCTAGAAAGCCCTAACTACCGACCGAGCTAAAACCTGGAGCTAAGCCAGCTCATTAGTTAAAACCGAAGTAACAATGCTGCCCCAAAAAGCTCAACCGGGCTAATGGCCCTTGCTCAAACCGAGGTAAGAATGGATAATGGCCCACGTAGCCGAGCTAGGACTTTGTTTATCTTGAATTTGTTTCTTTTAGCACGGTCCAACGATCTGTGCTTAACATCTTTCTTTTTTCACTTTACAGACTTAGGTTGCCAGGCACTCCCTTGAACGCTTAACTGAGCTACTCAGCGTCAATTCACGGCCGAGCTAATACTCCGTTAATTTATGCATAATTTTAAACCTCATGGGTAAATATAGGTTTTTGGTAAACACACCAGGGGCCATGGCCGAGTTCCGAAGGGACTACCATATCCCTGATGATGTCCATCTCACTCTAGCCGAACTGGATATCACACATTGGGGAAACCCTGGTTTTGTTCCCTTTACCCTTCTTTCCATTATAGAAACCGGACTAAGATTCCCTGTACAACCTCTTCTTTGCGAGTTCCTTAGACAAACCAACCTCTGCCCTACCCAGCTTTCCACAAATTCATACCGCATAATAAATGGCATCACCGAGCTAAACCGCCGGGCTGGCCTTAACCTCAGTCTAGCCGAACTCTTCCACCAATACTCCATAGGATCGGCTAAAGATGGCTGGGTTTACTATTTAAGAATAAGACGCCGTCGTGAAAAGATAATAAAGAATATCCCGGATAAAGATATGAATGAGGATGATTTCTTCTGGGTGTCTGGGAACTTTGAGGACCAACAAATCCAGATCCCGAGCGACAAAATAAATGGGAACAAGGGTGTAGCTGATAGGATTACCTCGGCTCAATTCCATACTTTTCTTTACTTCGGTTTCTTATCTTGAACCATACTAACTGTTATCTTTTTTTCTTCATGCAGATTTGAACTTCCTCAAGTCTCAGTACAGCTACCCAAACTTAAACGCACTTCGTGCCGCACTCCGATATCCAAACAGAAGCTGGGCCGAGCTACTGAATTTTGAACCGACCTACTGATATAATAGCCGCAAGAAGACCAGAGTGACCAATTTCCTCCTTGAACCTTCGCTAGAGCCAGATCCATCATTGCCTCAAATTAATCTCATCTCACAACTACCGAACAAGAAATGGCCAAGAAGAGAGTCGTAAGAGCACTCCTCACCAAGATAAATCGGCCCGAGGTACCACAAGCCGATCAAACCCAGGAGACCGTGGTAGCCCTACAATCCCATCAACCTGAATCGTCTCGGACTCGCAAGCGCGTTCGGTCTTCCACTACCGAGCCATGCCTTGTCGATGAGGACGAAACTCTGCTTCCTTCAACTGAAGTACCGAGCCCACAACCTGAGAGCCCAGACCGAGCTAACTCTTCTTATTAGGCACCGAGATTAACACATCAGAACCGAGCCATCAAACAAACAGATTCAATGGTAGCGGATAAAGATCACATGTTGGCCTTCAACCTGGCTAAGAGCGTGTGTCTGCCCCCTGATATGGATCACCACGCCCACATTACCGAGCTAAAAGCTATCCGCTCGGCCACCAAATCAATGGTGCTAGTAAGTACCCTTTCCTTTGTTTTCCTGTTTTGTGCAACTGTTAGCTCTGTTCTCACTCAAAATTGCTTACTACATTTATGCAAGCCATGCAAAAGAACCAGATTGCTCATAAGCGTGTGCTAGAGCTACGCAAAACAACAAGGCAAGCTGTGGCA